CTCCCTACTCGACAAGATAAAATCGACTTCTATCATGGAGAAAAGGGTAACTAGTATCGGCGCATTACGACTAAGCGAGCGAAGTCGCTTAGCTTGTGCGACACTAAAACTCAAGCCACAACTTTGTAGGAACACATGCGCTTCCTCCATAGCAGATAAGTGGCTCGGAATGTTTTGCAGTACGAAATTATGCTTGCGTTTAATTCGTTCCTCAGTTTCCGAACTTATTACCCCAATAAGTTTAAAAGATTGTTCAAGCACTTTTTCAGAAGTGCTGTTTATGTCTCCATAAATCAGCTGATCGATTATTTCGCCGGCCGATGGCCTGCTACGACTAGCAGAGGCGTATTTTTGGACGACTGAAGGGTCGAGAGGTTCTACATGTACTAAAGGGATTTGTGAGCTAATCAGATCTGCAGACGGCGAAGAACGTACGCTGGCGTCTGCCATGTCTTCAGTCACGATTTTAGCACCCAGAGACGGTGGGGAGGCCGCAAGCTTTCGCCTTTTAGCACGTGCTCTGCGGGGCATTACAGACAAAAAAAAGTTTTTTCGTTACAGAAGAGGGATCAAAACGGAAACGCGCACTGAGTAGCAAGTATTACTGTTTTTTTTACTACGAAAACTAGAAAGCGGTAGTAGGGAAAGGATTCACTACAATGGATTTTTACAAAATACGACTATTTTGCCAGACTGTCAAACAAACTGGGAACAAATTTTACCTTATATAGAAAGGCGCCTTTTAAAACGGACTCAAGTAAAAAGCAGGCATTAATTACTTAAGAATATCCAGATAAATGCAGAGCTTCACTTATCTTTGAAATTGAGCTGCGCGCCTTGACCTTGACTTGTATGGGATCGAGGTACAAACTGAATCATATAAGCGATAAGATGAATCGATTACGGTTCGTCTTTTGCATACAAACGGGGTTTGCGAATGATGTGGGAGGGAAGAGAGGTGGTAGTGATAGTGAGGGTAAGGCAGAGCCGTGTCTCAAGGGAGAGGAAGAGTGGTAGACCGGCAACATAAGTGAGGCATTACTTCTAGCGCGTATGTAGAAAACCTGCTGGAATTTTTCTGTGCTATTAGAAACACAAAGGGCAAGCAAGTAGGCGGACTATATAAAATATCATGTGATAGAAGAAGGCCCACCGATCTTGTTACGGAACTCACTCGTCCCGTTGTGACTTGGGACCCTCTCTCGAGCCCAACCAAGATATTCAAGATAACTTTTAAAGGTACTTCGAACCTCCAATGTAAACAATCGTTTAAGAAACAAAATCTCCTGTTTGCATCATTTTCACCAT